CAAGCCCAGAATATCAGGAAATTGTGTACCACTGAATTGGACAAACAACAACTGAATCAATTAACAATATTCTGAAGCTGAAATTGTTGAAATTGCCAGATTTAATTGAGAAGCTGTATTCAATTGTCAAGCTACAGTATGCAGACATGAGATGTGCTCTCCATGGACATGGCAACTTCGAACTGATTCCAAAATTAAATAATTTGGTATTGCCCCACAACGTATGGTGTCAAAAAACTGAAAGTGAGAAAAACAGTCATTTCCAAAAGTTCATGTCAACTAATGCTGCAAGAAAGAAAACAAAAACTGTAACATCAACTGATGGGAAATTGGATATACCAGGGACATGTGCGGTTGCCAAGAAACCAGGACAACGTAAAAGGGTCCGTGCTGAGAGGACCAGAACTCATAATAAGAGGCATAAAGTTGATCAATAAGATGTTATGGTAACTTATAAAATATAATTTATTTTTGGAGAATATTAGTTTATAAGGATAACATATAATAATTATCACTTACTTGCTAGTATCGATGGAAGCAGTAGGTTTTGTTAACCTTTACCTCTTCAGGCCAGCCACAAAACTTGCTGTTTCCCCTCGGTACTAGTAAACATATTAAGTTTTTGTTATGTACCAAATGTTTTAAGCCAAGAAAACTCAATTGCCATGGTTATGCCAAGAATGACAATTTTGAAATTACTCTCCGATATACAAGCAAGCAAATGCTTTATTATGCTTATGCAGAAAATTGAGTTTTCTTAGCTTAAAACTTTTAGTTTAAAACATTGATATATATTAAAACTGTATGGAGCCTCCTCTAACGCCAGACGAATGTCTAACTCTGTCTAACGCCAGATGAATTTACTTGTCAAGTGACCTGTGCACATTATATATAACCACGCACTGATATTCATCGACTTCAATAGACCATTTTCATAAAGATAGTGGCTAACACATAGTAGCACATTTCTCTTTTTTCATAAGTTCAAGATGTTCTGCTTATCTGCACATAAGCCTGTGAGGGAAAGCTGGAAATCCAGTCCGTTTAAAAAAAAATGACCTGCTCTTTGGCCACCATGTTTATGAAATATGTCTATTGACGAAATTTATTTGATATATTATACGTACATTAGTCATTTATACAAGAGAATGCCAAGACAGAATATATATATATATATATATATATATATATATATATATATATATATATATATATATATATATATATATATATATATATATATATATATATATATATATATATATATATATATATATATATAATACACACAGATTCTCAATTATATTGTGCAGATATTGAACACTCAAAGATACATTCATTTCATCATATATTGTACATGTACATATATTTATTTATAATAAGTTGTATTATAGTGTAATAAAACAAAACAATGACAATACGCAAAAGTTTTAAAGTAAATTCTTACCTTTATTATCTTTATTGAGGGTTTATGATTGTTCCAACAACAGTCATGCAAATATGCTATTGCCTATACTGGCTATACATGTAATCCATCAATTTATACAATATACCAAATAATATAATACCATCAACAAAATCATTTAAGCTGGAGATACATTAAGTTCTTTGTATTTGTTGGAGATACAAATTTTCGGCCTAAATGTGGTAGGAATTTCGGCAAGCAATACAAAAGTATACAAAATTTGCGAAATTTGCAAGGCTATATTTTCCTAATTTTACAACATTTTGCAACCAAACTTTGTAATTTTACTAATTTTAGTATGCTCTTTCTAGCTGTGGTGATTTATCTGAGTTTCCTTGCCTGATTTTAAAATTAGTCTATAATGGGAATTGTCTATTTCAAACCTTTAAAATAATTTAATCTTTTTGATGCTCTTTCATAAATATTAAACACATGAGCTCTCCATGAAAGATTAGACGAAAGTGTGACTCCTAGATGCTTATGATTACTAACAGATTCAATGGCTTTATTATCATACTTTAGCTGAGGATGTAAAGGTTTTTGACATTTGACAGAGAATATCATAGATTTAGTTTTATCTGGATTAATAGTTACAAGCCATTTCTTAGTCCATATATTTACAAGCTCAAGATCATTATTTAGCTTTAGCAGGATCGTCCACTATTTCAAGTAGGGAAGTATCATCGGCATAAAGAAAAGAATTAGATTGAAGATTTGTAGTAATGTCATTAATATAAATCAAGAAAAGCAAAGGTCCTAGTACAGAACCTTGGGGTACCCCCGCTTCAATTTGTTTCCAGTCAGATGACTGACCGTCAATAATTACCCGTTGTTTTCTCCCGGTTAAATATGATCTGAACCATTTCAATAAAGGGTCTCGCACACCAAGTCGTTCAAGCTTAAGAAGGAGTCCTCTATGCCAGACCTTATCAAAAGCCTTATACTAATATCTAAGAAAACCATTCTCACTTCTTTACCTTGTTCTAAAGCTTCATATATTTTATGGGTTATTAATATAAGTTGATTAATAGTAGAATCCCCGGGTCGGAATCCTGATTGAAATGGGGTCAGAAATTTTATTTCAAGCAAGAAATTATAAAGTCTAATAAAAACAATTTTTTCACAAATCTTAGAAAGACATGTCAACAATGACACTGGACGGTAATTGAGTTTATCCTGGCGATCGTTTTTCTTAAATATCGGTATAACATTAGCAAGTTTCCACATAGAGGGGAAAATTCCTTGGGAAAGAGATTCATGGAGCGATTGCAGAATACCCGTCCACGCATAAAACGTGATACTAAGTGGTACGCGGATACGACGTAATGATAAGATAGATGTAGTATTTATTGGATACGCGGATACGTGGCTACGCAGTGAGTTCAATTAAAAATATGGTAAAGACTAAAGATAGATGTATAGTATTTAGTGGATACGTGGATACTTGGCTACGCAGTGAGTTAAATTGAAAATGACGTAATGATAAGATAGATGCCTAGTATTTATTGGATACGCGGATACGTGGCTACGCAGTGAGTTCAATTAAAAGTATGGTAAAGACTAAAGATAAATGTATAGTATTTAGTGGATACGCGGATACTTGGCTACGCAGTGAGTTAAATTGAAAATGACGTAATGATAAGATAGATGTAGTATTTATTGGATACACGGATACGTGGCTACGCAGTGAGTTCAATTAACAGTATGGTAAAGACTAAAGATAAATGTATAGTATTTAGTGGATACGCGGATACTTGGCTACGCAGTGAGTTCAATTTAAAATGACGTAATGATAAGAGAGATGTAGTATTTATTGGATACGCGGATACTTGGCTACGCAGTGAGTTAAATTGAAAATGACGTAATGATAAGATAGATGT